AAGTGTAACGGTCGTGATCGGAAATTTTCAAGGTTTTGATAGCATGTACACCGGATGCTTTTCTATAGCCCAGTATGGTATGCTAATGGAGGTGGTGGTATTCCAGAATAACTTGGTTCAGAATATTCATAAGGTTCTGTAGTAATATCCAGCGACAAAAAAACCGGATATGCAGTAGTAAGATTTAGTACATAGCCTATAAATAAAATAATTAGTTAATATTGTCCTATGAATATACTGTACAGTATATTTGTAATAATTACTTGAAGTTCCGCCTATTATGATAATTTTTTTATTATCTGGTGTTAAGGTCGCTGTATGGCCTGTTCGGGCTTGAATAGGAGTTGACGACTCTGCTGTCTATAAATATGATATAATGTTTATATATTAAGAAAAAATAATGGTAATCACTATGAAAAAAAAAAAAAAGATACTGACCTTGTATGACCAGGTCAAAGAATTTGTATCGAATACTGAGATCTATAATTAAGGTTGAGAAAAAAGAAGACTTTTAAATGATGAAAGCTAATAAACGTGATTTAACATATTTTAAATAAGTATCTCTGGAAATTTGGTAAAAAATAACTTACATTATTCATATCAATTCGCGATGCATTTTCTCCAGGAGAAAGTTGATAAACACCACCAATATAAAGAATTTTACCATTTGGAAGTAATGTCGCAGTGCTATGACTTTGAGGAGAAGGAGCATTAGCAACATTAATCTTACTCCATGCTGACACGGTAGTGTCATATGTATATAACTCATTAAAGCAAATAAACGTAAGTGATCCAGTTTCTATCTGGGCTCTTCCTCCGAATATATATATTATCCTTCCATCCTGGCCTATTACTGTTGAAGTTGATCTACGTCTAATAGTTGGTCCTCCATTTGGACTAGGACTAAGCCAAGATTTCGTAGATGGTCGGTAAATAAAAATATTTTGATTCGTCACATTCCAAGTATTAATTAATTCGTTTATCATTAATGTTTGATTCGAAGTTATCGTTGCATTATGATCAATTTGATTAAGAAGAGTAAGGTTTTGTAATGTGCCTCCAACGAGATACACATCTTCTTTGTTAGGGCCACCAACCACCGCAGTTCCTAATGAATATATAATAAAGTATGTATAAATCATTTCTTAACTTTACGAAGTATATAAATTTAATAGCTAACCTTTTTCACTTCCATATATCATTTGTGAAGTACCAGTAAGGTCAACATATGGTGGATTAACTGTGGAGAATTGTGACGTAAGACCCAATGAAAAAACTTCATTTGATAAATTATATCCTCTTATTGAACTCTTTCTTGGGTCAACATCTGGGATTTTACGAGAGCCACCCATAAAATAAATCTGATTTTTAATTATTACTGCTACATGACCACCTCTACCCTCTGGAGTGAAACCATTTATTCCGAAAATCATACATGTAAAAATTAGTATGAATAAAATAATTTCAATTGAAGATTTAAATCTTAAACTCCAAAAAGAGGGCATGTTTTACGAGTGTTAATAATGAGTTTGTAAGAAATCTATGCAGCACTTTGTCAATTTATAAGTTAAATTAATGATACACAACTTCTAATGAAATTTCTTATCTGTTAAATTTGCTAAATTGTTAACAAAGGTAACTGTTGCTCAATGTAATGAAGTTATTTGTTGAATGATAATGCGTTTTCTAAAAATTTCATTTTTGCAACTATACCTACTCACATTATTATCTAAGCTTTCGGTCTGTTTTCATTTGTACCATACCGTATTACTTTACTGTGCATTCCCTAAAAAAATAATGCATTGCCAAACCTTGTGATTAACAAAAGTCTTATTTTACATATTATTTCTAAAAGTGTAAGTTTGTGAATCACCCTAATGATAAGATTGATAAGACGGAACGGATCCTACCAATCTAAAAAATATTTGTTTATGCTAGTTTGGGTACGAAGTATACTATATAAATTAAAACTATATGTGGTCATATAATAAAATCCATTAATGAAGATTTTTAGATAGATATTAAATATTGGAAATTTTTAAATAGATGCACAGCCCTAACTGCTCGATCGTTTTGGTAAAATTTTGCAAAGACTAATTTTATATCTCTACAAAAAATTATAGAGCCAATTAGTAAAAAAAAAACTAAATTAGTTTTTTCTTGCCTTTTTCTTTATTAGAAAAAAAACATACATAGTATATTATTTGTAGTGACATAATACTGATTTTATCCAAAATTATTGAACCGTTAGGTTGTGCATCTATTTGAAAACTTCCAATTATTATTATTATATACATATTTTTTACTTATCTAAAATCTTTATTAATAATTTTATTATATAACCACATATTGTATACTGCGTACCCAATGACTAGCGCACGAAGGCTGAAACGCATGTATTGTCTCATTTAAAAACATTTATAGGTGACCACTCTGTTTGTTATGCTATTACGACAAATAGAAACTTAACTAGTACGTAACACCATAAAAAATTTGGTGAATTTACAAATAAGGGCCCTATTTTAGAAAATTTTACTATATCTCATGATACAGTGAATGAAATTTAATGATTTTGATACCATTCGAATCGTCTCGTCAAGACGGGTCGGAAGGTACTAAAATTGCAAAATTTAAATTACTGGATTACGAGCTACTCAACATTTTCCAAATTCTGTTTAAATCATGATATTTCGTTATACAGTAATTTAAATTTAGCAATTTTAGTACCATTCGATCCGTCTTGATGAGACGATTCGAATGGTATCAAATCATTAAATTTTATTTACTGCATCTTGAGATATAGTAAAAAAGGGCCCTTATATATAATTATTTTACCTTTTTGGCCCTTATTTGTAAATTCCCATAAAAATTTTGAAATCATGAAATATTTTTATGGCGCCAACAAATCAGGTTTCAAAATCTTTAGTCAAAAATTGCTTATTTCTCAAAAGTTTGTATAATAACAACCTTTCGTGCACTAACAAAAAGTTTCTTTGAGCAGTTTTATTATATAATTTCCAAACCCTAGACATTCGCCCTCTTATATGACACTGAATATTAGATTAAATTTAATTGGTCAACTTTATCGCTCTTTCGATTTAGTTGGATCGACGATCTTTTTGAGTTCCGGGAGTCCGTGAATGCAAGATAGATAACAGCTTTATGTTCGTCGTATTCTTTTTAAATTTATTTATCAAAAAGGGAAATATAAAAATTCTAAATTGAGTCCCACAAAATATGACAAAGATGAAGCGATATCAGCGATATCCTCATCGTACGTAATCACAGGACTCACGGGACTCAAAACAATTATGCAGGTCGTCGATCCAACTAAATCGAAAAAGAGCGATAATTACTTTGATTATTCTGGATGGTGGCTGGCTTGTTTAATTTTGGAGAGCAGCTAACTGAAAAGATGGATTTACTTATATGATGCTTTTTATTAATAGTTAATCGTGACTGTAGGTCTCTGCCTTGCACGACACAGTAAGTACCGTACGTACTTATTATTTATCAAATATCAATTATCCACCGAATAGAAAGACGATAGCATGTTATGTTTAAAGTAATGCTACTAATAAAGGCAATATTCGTCAATATAAATTTCAAATTAATAAATTTTATACAATATAATGTACATATAAACCTATGCAATGACATAATATCATGGAATGTTAATTGAGTTAATAATAAATATTATTAAAAAATGCAGATGCGCCAAAATTTTGCACGGTTAATAACTAAATAAATTTTATTTAAAAATTCTCTTATTTACATTGACGAGAAGTTTATGAGATAATATTGATTTTGAAAGGTTAAACAGTATATAAATTACCTTCCTTTAATACAAATACCGTATGTCTGACATCTTTATCTTTTTTAATAAGCCCTATATTTGCTGTACTGACAGGAAACTTCCACAAATTAAACGGATTTACTTGATTCTGAAATAACATTACATATTGTTTAACTATATTATTTCAGGTGTTAAATAAATGCTATGTCCAAGTGCAAAACTCAACCTTTTTTCAATAAATAACCATCTTCATTGCATTATGTTTAGTGATGCCATGGTATGACATGACCATGCATCTTTACCAGTACCGAGCCATTTATAATCACCATTATCTACATTGTCTTTTATAGTTTGATCATAAATTTGTTTGGGCCGATTATGTGCTTGTTATTTTAATTCTTTTAGTGTAGCCTCGTGAGCCGCCACTTTGCCCATTTATCAAAAAAAGAAATTGTTTGTTCAAATGTTTTAATATTGATCTTGATCTAGAGCTTGTGTGTTGTGTTTTGGTACGTCCAGATCTAGCTCTAGTACAATTCTCCAAAAATTTTCTTCATTCTCATTTTATATTTATAAAAAAATAGAAGCTGGGCTTTGCGTTTTTTAAGCTAATACATATTTGTGAATTGTAGTTTCTTTTTATTTTTTTATTTTTTTTTAATGAAAATTAAAATAAAAACTTGAATTACAACACTGTGCATAATGATATGCGTTGTTGTAACCGTGTGAGAGACTTGACCAACGTGAGGTCAAATTAGCTCAGGATTGCAAGCATAGATTATACAAGATGAATGGTATAAAGGATTTGGAATTAATGATAGTGGGTTATTATGGAATGTAAAAAAAAAAAAAATTATATATATAACGATCTATAAAATTTATTATTTGTAATAACTAATTCTAACTCGTATTTTAGTAAGTATACGATTTATAAGAACGTTATTTTTTAATTCATAATAATTCAGGTGGAATTCTTCTTATTCTTTATTAGTTTAGATGTCATATTTATATATTGCAAAATGTCATGGTCAGAACCAAGTTCCGTAGCCTCAAAACAAGATCTATGGTTCCAAACTAAGATTTATGGTTCCAAACCAAGATCTATGGTTCTAACCCATTCACAGCCATTCCATACTGACAAATATAGTAATACAATATAGAAAATAAACAAAGAAAGGTTCACAAAATTTTCGTAACAATGTACGTACATAATACTTATAATAAGGTAAGTGATGCAAAGCCATGTGCTCAATTTTATTATGTGAATTAAACGTGTTTAAAATCATATGGACTAGGTCCTACAGAAAGGGGAAATCATTAACAAAACAAAAAAAGTTCAACTTTTATGTTATAAATTTTATAATAAATCATAAGAAAATACAAACTTTAAAAAGCCATATTACAAAATTTTATTAATGCAACTGTTTTTGTGTTTTAAGTGAATATGTTTCTAATCTAAATTGATCTGTGTAAAAAAAAAAAAAAAATTGAAAATTTGTCGATTTACCTCTTTTCTGTAGCGCTATGCCATATTATATTTTTTGTCTCATATTGGATCTCAAACGTGGATAATTCTTATGGCACCAATTATATAAATTGATATATGTGTATTTGATTTTATTTCTTGACACATAAATTAAAAATTTAACTGAGAAATATGTAACGTGTTAGTACATAATGAAATTATATAATTTATTTGTTAATAATGTATTTGTTAAACTTTTTTTTATGTATATCGTGAAAATCAAGTCAATATGAATTAAGGGTACGTAAACTTTCACAGTCTTCTACATGATAATATCAAAACTCAATTATCTATTTATAATTTTTTAAAACTCACTTTCATGCATTATGCATTCTATATATGGTGATGAATGCATCATATCTTTTTTGGTGAAATTTTTTTAATTTTTAACCAAATATAAATTAATAAAACTTAATCAAATTTAGCAAAATTGGTTTAAAATAAATTTTACAAGTTTTTAGAATTGATTTAAAAAAATGTTATTTAATTCATAAGTTTTGATTGAGTTATTTTTATTTATAGTTTTAAAAAATTTCTTTGAAAAAATATGGTATATTTCTACTGACTAGATAACATTAATAACATGCCATAGTAAATGAACCATATGCTGTGTGTTAAAAGAATAATAGGCTTTACAGCAGAATTTTTACAGTCTTACGATAGAATCACTGAAATAAGTTCCGTAAAAAAATATTTACAGTAATACTTACGATAGAAACTTTATAACTCCAATGCAAACTAACTAAACTTAACCCATGACCAGGTCATAAAGGTCATATTACAATTTCAATTAGTGATGTCATATGACCTAAGTCATAAAATTTCACTAATTGAACTTAGTAAAATGATTTGTTATGACCTGGTCATGTACCTAGAGGGTGGAACCGATGACTAATTATTCGAGCATCGAAATAAGCTTTCATTCATTGAGCTTTTAATTCGGTTATAATCGATTATCAGTGAAAGTCAAAATTT